TAACTGGCCAGGACAAGACACTAAAAACATTAAGACGATCAAATCTATTTTTCCAAGGCTCCTTGATGAAGGATTAGTGCTCTTAGCATAGCCTTGGCACTCAAGATTGAATTTTAAAATACATTTTTTTATTAAGCGAAAATGTAAAAAGTTGACATATGATATGTCATTCTATTCAGAATGTCATTTTCTATCGAATAAAGTAAAAAAATATCGAGGGTGCCATTTAAAAATCAAAAGTTGTAATCATTTCCGGTGAAACAGGAAGTGACCAAAAACAATTGAATACACCAATCAATCCTAATTTATGTCATATACTAACATACCAAATCTTGTTTTTTTATCTGAAAAAATAAAAAAGTTATAGGGGTGAGCCACTTTTGAGACGCACCCGGTATATTTTCAAGGCTAGTAGATGTTGATAAAAGAAACATATAATATTAACATATATTCTCTTTGCCATGTCTCCCATTTTAGTTCACAGGCAAATTGTATTTTCTGTCATTTATTGGATGTCGTCCGTCGGTGTCAAAATCTTTGCGAGTCGTTGGGCAGACTATAGCCTACTGATATAATATACAGGGCGAAGCCTTAAATAAATGCACATATTTTTAGAGCTGGTAGATGTCGACAAAAGAAATGTAATATTAACATATTCTCAAGTCCAAAATAGCCGAATTATTTTACTTTGAAAATTAGAAAAAATTTTGTTTGTTTAAATTTTGAGAATCACTGGACGTTTTCTGTGTTTTCGTTCCTCTAAATTTAATCTACCACCCATGTTGCCATATTATCAATATATTATTTTTTAAATGAAAATTTAATAAACTTTTTCGAATAAAACAAAATTTGTGTCGTGGGATCGAAATATACCACCCTTAAAATTAAATGCACTTATTTAAGACTCACCTTGTATAATGCTGAAATTTATATTTAATTCCATAACACAATAACCTTTATTAGAACATAAACATAATACAATACGATTGAATAGCGCCCACGTAAGCTATTTTAACACATTCTATTTCCTGTGCTTTACAGCTAATTAAATATGATTCCAATTATTGTAAAAAAAAGAAGAAACAACATAATAATCTATTATTACATATATTCAGAACAACATTGCAGCATTGACTTATAAAATGTAAAAAAATCGATAACCAACCCTATTTTTACCTTCATTTTACCTGCTACGACATTGTCTATGTTAGCATAATTACATCACACCATAGAAAGGTGAATGAAATGCTTCAGCAGTAAAATACATTTTATGTGAGAAACAAATAGCCTTTTTACAAGGGATTACAATAAACTTTATAAATAAGCAGAAAACATTTTTTCGTTTAAATTTTTATGCTAATACATTTTTTTTATACTAATATTTTTTATTCAAAAAAATAAATGCAGAAAATCTTTAATCAACGAGGAAAAAATAACATTCATACTAATACGAAAAGCAAAAAAAAAATCCTAGGCTTCGATCACCAGGATCATTAGCCACATACAACTCGTTATTGATAACAATGCCATTACAGGGGATCCCCAAGTAATCACTCTTACAAGGACAATTCAAAATTTAAAAATCTACCTTGACATAACCATTTCAAGTTGAGTGACAAAAAAATCGAAAACAAACACAAATAAAGTAAAGAAAAAAAAACAACAAGAGTGGTGGTATATATTAATATCTGTCATAAAATTCAAAATATTTTTAATTTTTTATCACGTAGATAGAATCTACTTCTTTCTACAATATATTGAGGACATTCACATATAACGTTAGTTATATGTGTTATATTATATATAATTCTTTTACTCAAACATCACATAATATGCACATTTCTCTTTTAAGCAGATATGCATGAGTCACTGCAGTATACGAAGACAATGCACTCTGGATTCATCCGCTCATCCCAGTGCAATACTTAAGGGTGGGGTTGACGGATCCTGTTTTATTGCGCGCAGTTTTGAAGATTTACCTGGTCCACTCATCCTGCCATTCCCTTTCTGTTCTTTTATGTAATAGTATTTGAAATCATATTTACTAATATAAAATAAATCAATGGTATCTCTTCTAGCAGTTTGCTCAGTAGCTTTTTCTGCCATTGTGTTGTCAAGTATATTAGTATGATGTGGGACCCATACAAACGTGAGTTTGTTTCCCTTCTGGCTGCACTTTCAAATAAGTGTCTGAATTTTTTGTTTCAGAGGATCATGACAAATATGTCATTAATTTTAGACATATAAAGAGTCAGAAACAATTACTACTCTAGTTTGATTATATTCCTCGATGACATAGGATAAGGCTTTCCACACCGCAAAATGTTCTGTGAAGAAAGCTAATGCTTCATGTCCCAAAGTCCATTGGAAAGCTGACTCGTTGATAATAACTGCACATCAAGCACCAGTTTGTGTAGCACCGTGTTTGGAACCAGCAATATAAATGACAATTTTTTCGTTTTGGTTTTGTTTGGTTAGGAATTTAGTTAGGAATTTCATTGATTATCATAAGCAGATCTTTAAAAAGCATCTTTGTTATTAAAACAGGGAGGGTATTCAAGGGGTAATTTTGAAATATTTTTCAATTTACATTATTCATTATTCAATTAAACTCTAAAATAATAAACAAATTTAAATCCAAATGCAATTCTTTAAGGATGTTTATATAAATTTATTTTCAGAAAAAGCAACTCAACTATATATTCTAAAATAAGATTTCTTAATATTATATATTTTTGTTATATTTATATTTCCAAATATAAATTATTATTTACTTTATTTTTCTAATATAATATTAGAATACTAAAATAACTACAAGACTAACTAACCTAACTCACTAAAATAATCTAAAAGAAAAACGTAATGTACATCAGGTGTGTTAGGTTTGCAAAAATAATGAAATAAAATGAAACGAACATAATATTTACACAAATGTAGTAATATAAGGAGATTTACTTAAGGCAATTAAGAATTGTTTATTATTATAAATCCGTATGTAATCTTTTATTAGGGAATATTATTTTTCTCAAAACCTCTTTGTTCCTTTATTTCTATTTTCTTAGGAAGTTGTATAAATAATTACATAAGTAATAAATTTTTATACGTATGACGCTGACCCAGACATACAGGGTTCGATCCCCAGGATGTATAGTCGCTCTATTTTATTTTTATAGAAAAAAAACATTTATAAAAATAAAAATAAAGAAAAGAAATAGAGCAGTCAACAAGCCACTGCCTAAAGGAAGACAATAGTAAACCACTTTAAGCAAGTATGTTTTGCTAGTACAAAACATCATTCAGATATATAGTGCCATTCGAATTCTGCGATAAAATATAACTACGATGTACATGATAACATACATCACAAGTGCATACGAGAAGTCGGTTACACTCTGTATCTATTACGGTCGGCATTTCTGGCCTTGGGTGCCGATTTTCTTATATACGAAGAATACGGTCAACACGCTTAGTAAAATAAGATGTACTGAATAAAGGCAGAAATTTAAGGCAAGTATTTTCCTAAGGGCATGGAATTATCAGCATCAGATTAAGTGGTTATGTAATAAATACTTCGTATTTTTGCCCTCTCTGACTTACTAGATTGCCATAGCGATTCACTCCTATACATGTAAACGCCGACCCAATGTTTCGCTTGCCAGCAGGGTATATATCACATGATCGAAAAAAAACAGTTGGCTTGGAAATGACCATCGATGACATTTCGCATTTAATTTCTTTACATATAAAATGGCAGCAATCTTCATTTCAAAATCATCTGTGACGCTATTTTTTTTTCGATCGTATTGTAGAATGTAGAATGTTTGGGAGAAGGGTTAATCACCGCGACCTTACAGGGTCCGAATTCTGTAACTTAGAAAACACTTGACGTTAGTTTTCGCTTAGCACGCACTTAACTACCGATTTAGGTATTCTCATCTGACGCGCTTAGCGTCTTTACTGATTCGAAAACGGCTACCTTAAAGGATCGTTTTACTTGTCGCACTGTCAGTAAAAATAGAAAATTGTGATTTGGTGCGCTCTCTTGCTCTTTAGTGAAAACCACTTCTTCTTCTATAAATTACACAATAAGTAATTATAAAATGGGTAATCGAAAATGCTGGGAAGCGTCTTCGACATTTCCATCGTATAATAAGAATAATGACATATCCATGGACGTTGACATAATTCAACAATAAATTATGAAATTCACGTGACATTGACATTTTTCATTGTTACATACCTACATCAGTTATCAACTTTTGACTATTAGCTACATTAGAATGAAAGTGAAGAAATGTGATGATACCAATATGTGCTCAACACGTATCAAGAAAACGATTCGCATGGTAAGGAGAATACCAAAATCGACTGCTTGGCGTTCCGCTAATCGAATACTTTCGCTTACCGCTTTGAAACCGTAACGTTTTGATGTCGAGGTTCCAGAATTCAGGCCCCTATCTATTGAGGGTCCCCCTTTCTTGAGTTATAACGAGTTATAATATATCATACAGTCTCAGGGTTTTGACAAAAACCAGTATCTTAAACGGCTTCACAGAGGCTAGTTTTCTATCTCTGATATAGAATAGTTGTCGTCTCGGCGCACTCAGTGATGATGTGTTCTAATGTTTCCCAGTTTTTCCCACAGAATCTGCATTCGTCGATCGTATTGTACTTGGCACCATTAATTGGAGTAATTCCTTTAATCAGCGATTGCACTGTAAGAAGAAACTCAATAAACTTTAAATTTTAGGGTAGTCAGAAGTAATAGCCAGCCCGATCTGGAAAAAATATTTGACGTAACAAAGCTAATATCGTAAAAAATGAAAGAAACTAAGCTAAAACGCTGAATATGAACTTTAAGAACTTTCCAAACGGCCCCCATAGCTTTCCTAGTTTTCCATTTCCCGACGTAGTCGTTCCAGTTTTCATGTAAACTGACGGACCGGCGCTTCTGGATAGCACAACACAACGCCGCTCAGTCTCTTGCCGATTTCCAGACGGTTCGGTTTGCTTGATACTCCCCGCGCGCCATCTATTTACCCCTGTCGACAACCGCGATCCATAAGGGCGAAAATCGCAAACGAGCACATGCTCTTTATTGATTCGCCGATAGGAAAAATCTAGCACTCGCTTTCCTCCAGGATACTGTGATGGGTTAATATTTTTATCCATCTCGCAGGAAAATAAACATAGTTTGACCAAAGAACATTATTAAGAAACGACAACAGTAATTACTGAAACTTGTTATGGCTGGCAAAAATCTGGAATTATCGCGGAACGGACACGAATTGGCACCGTTGAACACCAGGTCATGTCCGGAAGGTGAGCAGAGGAAACCTGGTGTGACCATCGTTCTACAGGGCTCCAGAGGGTCCATCATATCCAGAGGTAGTCAGGCAATGGGGCAGGATGATGACGGAACGGAATGGTCGGGAAAGATGCAATTTTTCCTTACCATTATCGGGTATTCTGTGGGATTGGGAAACATCTGGAGGTTTCCTTATTTGTGTCAGCAAAATGGAGGGGGTATGTATATAACGTTTGATTTAGTCAATTTTGGATGTCTACCACAATACACCAAAATACTTTATTTTAAACTTTGAACTTAGTTTCGTTAATCACGACAGTAATATCGGCAGATGATTAAATCGACTTTTTTAGTAATCTGCTTAGCAAATAATAATTATAATGAACGAGCAATCCAAATCTAAATGGTATTAATTATTATATAAACTATATTTTTTTATATCCACATCAATAGAAACGAAAAAGTTCTATTATCAAGTGGTATCTACAATTACATTCAGTAGTGCATTTTGGAAAGTAATTAATTGCCAGATATGAAAATGTGAATTATTACATTTGGATAGGTTTTTAGAGTATGTACCTTTTTCTTCTTACAGTGACTTACACTTATACACTTATAAAGCATCGGAGACCTTTAGCATTTACTTGTGTGTATGTAATCAGTTTATTTACAAGTACACAAATCTTATACATTTTATGGCCAAATTGGTTCTATTTGAAATGATGTACAACGCAAATTTATTCAAAGTGGAAGAACATTTTTTCCTTGAGGTGTCGGACCGCTGATAGCTATATTTATGTAAATAAACATTTTTATTCGTATAGGCTTGGTGCATTCTCCGCCGGTGCTGCCACCATCGGAGAATGTCGTAAACAACTGATAACTGATACACGGGTTTAAATATACGAAATATTTATTATATAATATTCTAAGAATGTTAGAAAGTATAATTTGTAAAAATTCTAAAAATAAAAATAAAAAAGGACATATTTTGATATTTTCAGAACGCCTAATTTGTATTATAATTTATTACTCCAGCTAAAAAAACTTTTTAGATGAGTTCAACTACGGTAGCCAGTATAGTTTTAAGCACCGGTTTTTCTAGTGGGGTCATAATTGAGGCTAATCATGAAATGTTTTAATACTTTTTTTTGATATACTATATTTAAAATTATATTAATTATTATATTAATTTAATTAATATAACATTAGGGTAGGTTTAAATGTACATAATTATAATTTCAGAAGATGTTGATAAAACATTTAATCACAAATTGATTAAATACTAGTTGATTAAAAAGAGTATACCATTAACATTGCAAATTATATTTTATCCTCTCATAGTATGTCTAGTTCATTTTTTGATTATGTAACGAGCACTTAGTTTACTCATTTGTTTCGTCGCTTGAACTCATTTTTGCTGTTGATCAAACCGGTAGTGGGCGGCATAAAATATATACTGATAATTTCTGATTTCTGCCGTTGAAGCGCTGCTGTCGGAATTTGTTGGAATCAACTGAAATGTACCGAGCCTATAGAGGTATAAGAGTGGGTCAAATATACTTTGACGTAACACATGGCGTAACTACTGCTATATTTGTATGATGGCAGTAATAAAAATTATACACACTATAAGTCCAAAAGCGACAGCAATGTACAGCTGGTTCCAATAAAATTGAATACAATTTAAAACATATTTTTATTATTTCGGGCAGTATATTCTATGATACCATGCAGCCCCCCATTTCTCTACTCATGTCATGCTGACATTCAGAAAAATTAATTTGCCACTTTGTCAAAAGCAAAGTTGTTTTATTCAATGTCACAATAACCTTAACGTGTCAAAATACTTGACACATAAATATACACTGCTCAAATATTCGAAAAAAATGTGTAAAGAGTCGTATTCATTTTTTTGGAACCAGCTGTACTTCTGATTTATATTCACAACCGTCACTGGCAAAACTAATATTTTATTTTTTTATTACTTTGAGAATGTAAATTACCAATTCTAGAATAAATTCTAGCATATAAGAAAGTGAATTTTATAATTATTCTATTTATTTGTGCCTTTATTGCATATTTTTGGAACGATTTGTATAAAGAATGTGAATATTTCAAATCGCAATATCCGGATTAAAGAATCTTAAAAAATCAATCAATAAATAATGTTACGTATTTCGGACTAATACAAATTGGTATTTCACTCTAAACTTTCATTCACGTGGAGTGTGTATACTAATGAATAATTTAATACTATTGTGTGTTTACATTAACATGCCCGATTTTATTTCTGTACTCCAATATAAACACTTTTTCTATTTGGTTTAATATATCATTCGTTACGGAAAAACGTGTCTATATCGAAAAATTTGCAATTTCTTGTCAAATTTTCTCATCCTTGATGTAGAGTTTAATAATATAATTCTATTTTTATCAATTCATTAACATCATCCACAAATTTTAGTGATTGGGTACTTGAAAAACTATTAAATTGGAAGTTTAAAATATCTTATAACAGTGTGAGCGTAGTAAGTTCGACGTGTATCTACTAATAGAAATATATTTAAAACAAACCATTCATATCCCAATAAAAAAATAGTTCAAATAAATAAATTGCTTTAAATTATTGCTATGTTGATTGTTTGTCTTAGAATTATATTAATTATAGCTAAGTCCCCGTAGCACATTATCCTGGACCAGCTTGTTTTCTTAAAAAACATTAAAAAACTATTTATATACCGGGTGCGTCTCAAAAGTGGCTTACCCTTATAACTTTTTTATTTTTTCAAATAAAAAAACAAGATTTGGTATGTTACTATATGACATAAATTAGGATTGATCGACTTATTCAATTGTTTTCGGTCACTTTCTGTTTCACTCGAAATTATTACAACTTTTAATTTTTAAATGACACCCTCGATAGTTTTTTTTACTTTATTCGATAAAAAATGACACTCTAAATAGAATGACATATCATATGTCAACTTTTGACATTTTCGCATGGTTTATTTGACATTGAAACTAACGACAATATATAACGACAATTTGGCTCGAAATACCAAGTGTATGGTACCAAAGTATTCGTAAAAAAATGCTTTTTCCAAATAAGCTAATGAGCTACCCTCATTCCCTTTGAAAAAAAATGAGATATGATTAAAAAACGATTTAGGCATCTTTTAACCGGTCAGGACAAAACACTAAAAACATTAGAGAAAAAATCTATTTTTCTAAGGCTTCTTGATTTAAAATTAGTGTTTTTAACATCTGTAGATTGAAATTTAAAATAAACTTTTTTTAAGCGAGAATGTCAAAAGTTGACATATTAGAATATGTCATTCTATTTAGAGAGTCATTTTCTATCAAATAAAGTAAAATAATACCGAGGGTGCCATTTAAAAATCAAAAGTTGTAGTTATTTCCGGTTTGAACCGCATGACTACATGCTAGCATTAAAATTCATTTTATTTTATGACTATCTTCTAGCAGCCGTCTGTAACTTACTATCCGGGAATTAAAGAGCCGATCGATACAGCATCCGAGTTAAGCTGAAAATTTGGCATGAGAAATTCAGTCACAGATAACATAGTAAAATTACTATACAATAAAATAACACATTTGCTGGTCCCCAGTGCGTAATTGCTACCATTTTATAGTGATCGTTAACATTTACTAGATTTCCCACACCTTTTTGTAACATTAATAAATGCCTAATATCAAAATGTATTATTTTTACTAAATTTATTATATCAAAATAATATAACTTTTAGCAAAAATAGCATATACTTTTTTACAATTTCGTGCTGTAGAAAAGTAAAATAATCTTGAATTTTTTATACCTTAGAATAAATTAGAATTTTAGATGTCGCACAATATTGAGTTTTATTTTTAGATATGCCAGCTACCAGGCAGACAAAGTGTTATAATCAATATTGATTCATTATCCAACAACTAAGAGTCTTTACTAACCTTTATTTACTTTCTACGAGGATCAATCAGAAATAGACTGATTAGATTTGTAATAATAATAAATTAAATAGATAAATCACTGGATTGAAAAACAGATATAAAATCGAAAATAGATTGAAAATATACATTCCGGAATCGTTAAAAGCAGATAAATCAAAATAGATACCTTGTAGGACACCTCTACGATCCTAAAGGTCGCATATTTAATTTTTCTATTATCGCGGGAAATAGATGGGAATGTTCCCCTAACATTTTGCTCTTGATGTATACCATGATTACTTATGGAGCAGTTGTTTGGTACACAAAACTAAAACAATGCACATGAAGGCGAAACCTGTATAAAACGCAGAGACTGGCATGCATCTGCATTACAGGAGCCATAAGAACCTATCCAGCAGCAGCAATGGAGGTCATTATAGACCACCACTACACATTGGTAGATATGCTAATGTAAAAATGATTAGAATGGTTATTGATGGAAATATTACTGGCAGAATTTGTGAGTTCAGGAGCTTGGAACACCCTCAAAAGAAAAAATTCACTCTTCCAACTTCCATGGATAACATACAAAGAATGTATAATTTTATGAAACACCTCACTGTTGTACTGAGCAACAAAAAGAATTGAAAGAGAGAAAGGTTTGCTCAGCAGTTAAAAGACCATAATATATCATAACGCGGTATACTGATTCTTCTAAAACCAAAACAGAAAAAGGGATAGAAGTATTTGGATCGAAAACTAAATACTCCGAACCAATGGGCACCTACCCCCATCCTTGAGGCAAAAATCTGCACTAACGAAAGATGCGAACAATAACTTATCTTAGATAGGAACTATCGGAAATAAGAAGTATTCATGTTATTCAATAGTCATGCAGCCTTCAACTCAGTAATAATCAATTCGAAGTTGGTCAAAGAATGCCTAGAGAAGCTGTACAAATTAGGCAACGAAAATAAACTCCTCCTACTCTGGGTGCCAGCCCACCAAGAGATAGAAGGTAATGAAAAAGCAATCTATTATTACTAGCTAGAAAAGGAGCGAATGCTCCACTAACTGAATCTGAACCGTTCTGCCTCCCAAGTGGAAATCAACTTAAAATTAACCTAACAGAACTGAATAACATGAAAGAGTAGATCCGTAACCTGGAATGGAAATCCCGCAATAACATTCAAAGAAGGAAGAAACAACCGCAAATGCAGATTCTGTGGGAAAAATAGGAAAACATCAGAACATCTCTCTCCGTATTGAAAATAAGCGGAGACGAGACAAATTTAGACGAGAAAATACGGAATATCCCTCTTTACTATTCGACCTTGACATACTTCGAGCTATTTCGCGAGTAGTGTAACGGCGTTTAAGATAAGCGAATATCTAGGTAGGTATAGTTGCCATTAAAAATAATTAAGATTTTTAACACTTAAAAAAACGGATTAATTCTGTTTTAACATTTAATTATTTTCTAATATATTATTTTAAATATTTCAAATAATTAATTTTTTAGAATGTTTGTATTACAGTTGGGGGTTGGAACCTTTGGTGTTACACAGCAAAATAAAAGCACTAAATCACCACAATACACTAAAACACTTTTACTTTTACACTGGACGCGCGTTTCGCTAACCATGTTAGCATCATCAGCAGATGATTATAAACTAAACTAAAGTCTTTAGTTTAGACGCGCGTCCAGTGTAAAAGTAAAAGTGTTTTGGTGTATTGTGGTGATTTAGTGTTTTTATTTTTTAGAATGTTTGTATCTATATACCGGGTGCGTCTCGAAACTTGCTCACCCCTATAATTTTTTATTTTTTCAGATAAAAAAACGAGATTTGGTATGTGAATATATGACATAAATTAGGATTGATTGGCGTATTTAATTGTTTTTGGTCGCTTCTGTTTCACCGGAAATGACTACAACTTTTGATTTGGTTAGGGAATGACATATGATGTGTCTTTCTGACACGCTGACATTTTCTATCGAATAAAGTAGAAATATACCGCGAGGATGCCATTTAAAAATCAAAAGTTGTAGTAATTTCCGGTGAAACAGGAAATGACCAAAAACAATTGAATACCGTCAATTAATCCTAATTTATGTCATATGCTAGCATACCAAATCTCGTTTTTTAACTGAAAAAGTAAAAAAAGTTATAGGGGTGTCTACTAGAGTATTGTAAGGAACCTTTCTCAACAAAGATACTTTTTTCAGCACTATTTTACTATTTTTGTGTAATTGGTCTAGAATGTAGATTGTTTATAAGGGCAATCAACGTAATCACCGCAACCTTACAGATCTATTGTGTGTTCCCCTTTCTTGAGTTATAAGGAGTTGAGTCATCATAGAGTCTCAGAGATTTAATAAAAGCCAGTATCTGAGAGGGCTCCACAGAGACCAGCTCTCCATCCTCGACATAAGCCGTACAAAAGTTCATGGCACGAATGGTCGTCGTCTCGGCGCACTCAGTGATAAGCAAAGATATTTAAACTCGGTTTGGTTTGGTTTAGTTTGATTTGGTTATAAATTTGATAAGTGATAAGTGATAAGGTGTTCTGGTATTTCCCAATTTTCCCCACAGAATCTGCATTCGCCGTCGTTTCTCAGCTTCAGCCTACTGAGGTGTTCGTTGGGGAGACAGTGTCCTGTTAGAAACTCCGTGACAATCCGAAGATTATTTTTACTTAAATCAAGGAATACCTTTGATTGTTCTCGGTCGTAAGTTCTGAGGAACTTTTTCGAGTGTCTTAGACCGTTGGAGGGCACCCATTCCAAGTTACGGATGGAGTCTTCCAGATTGTTCAGTGCCGCTTTCAGTTGCTTCCCGTTTGGAAAACAGAACGGTTCTGGTCCAGTTAGTGGAGTGTTCGCTCCTTTTCTAGCTAGATCATTTGCTTTTTCATTGCCTTCTATCCCTCGGTGAGCAGGCACCCAGAGTAGGAGGACTTTATTTTCTTTGTCTAATTTGTTGAGCTTCTCTATAGGCATTCTTTGACCAACTTCGAATTGATGGTTACTGAGTTGATCGCGTTTAGTGCTGCTTCACTATCGGATAGAATGAAAATTTCTTGTTTTCGATAGTTCCTATCTAAGATAAATTGTACGCATCTTTCGATAGCGTAAATTTCTGCCTGAAGGATACTGGGGTAGGTGCCCATTGGTTCGAAGTATTTAGTTTTCGGTCCAAATACTCCCTATCCCTGATTTTGTCTTGGAAGCATCAGTATACCTTATGGTATGGTCTTTTACATGCTGAGTAAGCGTTTCTTCCTTCCAATCATTTTTATTACTCAATACTACAGTGATGTGTTTCTCAATATTGTAAATTCTTGGTATGGCATCCACTGGGAGTTTGAGAAGTGGAATTTCCTTTTTGAGGGTGTTCCAAGCCCATGACCTGAAAATTCTCCCAAACCGTTTCCGTCAAAGACCATTCTAACCATTGTCGCATTGGCATAACTACCGACGACAATATGCAGTGGTGTTAGGTCTAGAATGGCCTTCTAAGTAATTGGTCAAGATATACATGTTTATATACATTTAACCATATTTGTTTTGCTTCATTATTTAAAAATATGTGTCTCTTATGTGAAGTTCAACAATTTCTCAGAATCCTGATTCCTTAATTCACTGTATTCAACCATCAATCATCAGTTACGCTATTAATTATATTATATTCCTCCATATATTTTCCTTATAGTTACATTATTATTCTTCCATGGCTCCCAAGACTATTAAAATGATTCCACTGTCAGAAAGAATTTCTATAAATTAATATTCCAGAGAATCTGAAATTGTTATTTTACTAACGAATTATAGGGTATAAAAACTAAAATAGTTTATAGGTATATAAAACAACATAAAACACAAAACTAGTAAAACTATAGCATAAAAAGTTCAACCGGTACGGTGGTTTAATCACCGGTTGGCTCAAGGAAATAAGTGTTTTTTTATATTAATCTGAATTATTGTTAGCAGCAACAATACGCAGATTTCCATGCAAGTGATGGTAAGTTGACATGCTAGGTATAAATAGGTTGTGATATTATTCGTCGTTTTAATAAAGCTTCACTGAGGCTTTGCTTAAAAAACGATCAGTACCAGTATTTACCTTTATCAGTTTGCCTTTATCACTTGCACGGTAATCTGCATACCGCTAGATATGCGCTTATCTTTTGTCATATAATAAGTCGAATTCTAAGCTCCATTCAAGCTTCGTTTAAAATAACGATAAAGACTGGTGCACTCCCTTCTTACTTCTACTGGCATATGTATCAGAATAGACGTAGTTGGTGACACACAAATAATCTAGAACAAGCATAGAATGCCAGCTGGTACCGAACAAACTGTGGTTTAATTTCAGCCTTTAAGTATTTAAATAAATTTGTAATGAAGTATTTTTGTGTATCCTGGTTGATTTATACCTAATTTTATTTATTCAATCTCAAAAATTTCAACTTGATTATAATTAATAATTTTATTCTTGTTGTAGGTGCTTTTCTCATTCCATTTGCGGTGATGTTAATCTTAGAAGGCATTCCGCTGTTTCTCATAGAGTTAGGAATAGGCCAGAAGATGAGGTTAGGTTCATTGGGAGTATGGAATACCATCCATCCGTGGCTGGGTGGTATCGGAATATCTTCCTGCTTAGTGACGTTTTTCGTATCGTTATACTACAATGTGATAATTACTTGGTGTTTCTACTACTTGTTCAATAGTTTTCGGGTGAGTTAAAGTTACTTGTTTCTTATAATAATAGTGGTAATACTACAGGCTGTCTTTTAAATAAGTGTAAGAATATTAAGGGGTAGTAGGTAGATCTGGACAAAAAAACGTATTTTTTAGTTACCATTTTTAAATAAATTGAAAATAGCTGCGTCATTTAACTTTGCGTGTTTCTGGGTTCGAAATATAACTCTACCAGTTAAAATAATTGCACCTATTTAAAAGACACCCTGTTTAGACTAAAGATCCGAAATACCTCTTATTTCATATTTTAACGACAATAATACAGAATTATAAATAAAAACTTCTTCAACTTTTATGTTATCTTTCAAAAAGTTTTAAAAATGTTATAGTTAGGGCTAAATAAAACAGATCATAATAAAAGTACATAAATTATTATGAAATTTTTTAATACATCTGAAAGAATAGGCGTTTGTAGAGATACATTATTCCTCAATAATTATTTGTTATTTTGTATCTTATTATACAGGGTATCCGAAATTGTATTCGGGATATTTCGGCAGCATATTCTGCAAGTAAAAATTATTAAAAAATTCGTATAAATATATGTCCTAAAATGCTTCGTTTTGGAAATAATCGGGGTGTAGAAGTTTCTTTTTTATCTCGATTTTTTCCAAATAATTTCTGAAGGTCGCTATTTGGATGAAAATTGGTGTCTGTTTTTTTTGACATGACAAATTTGATTTCGATGTCAATATGATCGATATAGTAGGGAGCTCCACCTACATAATTTTAACTGTTTTGAAAAGTAATAACTTTTCGTCCATACCTGTATTAACATTACATTTCTGCAGTTTTTTACTTGAAAAAGGTCTCTTGCTAGAAGTCGCTACGAGCAACCATTCTCAAAATGTTTGGAATGGAAATTATCAATACATGTCATCTCTGAAAAAAAAATATGTTGACTAGATAGTTATTTGACTGATGAATGAAAAATTTAAAAACTTTTCTTTGTAAATTAATTACTTTTTTTAAGTTTTTCTAGAAAACAATGTGATGATAAAACAGTTTCTGTTGAATCTTTGGCACAAAAACATTTCCAAATTTATTATGTCAGTCTAAAAAAAATGGTGTGTGCACTATGTGAGCATATTTGAAGTGAAACTTCTGTCCGTTCGTATGTCTGCCCGTCCGTCCCACCCTGATGAAGATGTCGTATCCAACTTTGCAGGGTGGAACCGTGTGCACCGTCGCTCACATAGCCTACCCACCCAATTTGGTCGCCATCGGACGACATCAACTTTTGACGTTTCTTACGTCAAAACTAACTGTCACAGTAGTGATGGGCAAAACTGTTATTTTTAGATAACAGTTGAAACTGTTATAGTTATTTATATAAAACAGCTTAAAATAACAGCTTAAAAATAACAGGTTTCTTTATTTTATTGCTAAATATCTGAAAGAGTATGAAGCGGTCGCCGCCAGGCGTATTAACGCAGTTGCAAGTTGCTACAATGACATGCTCGGTGGTGGTATTTCCAGGGTGTCTAAAAATTTCTAAATATCGATTGTTATCTAAAATACCTCTCTAAAAACGGTCGTTGTTTACAAATAAGCGCTGTTTACAAATTGCGATATAAAAAAGCCAAAATTCCGCCACTCGTCTATACGTATACATTCCGATCACCTACGCCTTGCCCCTCGATCGGCGTAGATCCTGAATTGCGTAGCAGTGTACAGGGTGCATCTCACTCGACGGGCAAGAAGCTCTTAGTTATAATTTTACCATTTGTGGTCAAAAAATAGCAATATAAGAAAATGTGTAGTATATTCTTCATAAGTAAACCAACTATACACTAGAGTTCGAATTAATTTTACACTTAAACTAGCGTGTACCCGCGACTTCGTTCGCGTCGAATTAATAATTTGTAATGGTGATGATAAAGCAAAGCAAGAATTTCTATTGACATACAAACTGGATAAAATTTTCTCACATTTGCCAAAAATAAGCTTTAAACGTCGAGCAGTTTAAGCAGAATCGTGGTTAATCAATTACTCAACTTTTTGGAACACCCTGTATTATTTTTTAAAAAATTTCAAAATATGTAAAAAAACAAAATAAATTATGCGTGTCCAAGCGTTTTCCCGAAAGACTAACCGTTTTTTAAATAACAAATATTGTAATATTTGAGGGGCGTTTTCACCCTCTTGGAATTTAAGATTCGAGAAACCCCTCCTTATCGAACCTCAACCCCACAGTCAATCCGTTTGCCAAAAATCAGCTTTAAACGTCAAGCAGTTTAAGCAGAATCGTGATTACTCAATGGTCACATTTTATGAAACACCCTGTATATATTTTTAAAAAATCTTAAAATATGTAAAACAACGAAATAAAATATACGTGTTTAAGAGTTTTTCCGGAAAACTCACCGGTTTTTAAATAAAAAATATTCTAATATTTGAGGGTGGTTTCACCCCCTTTGAATTCGAGTTTCGAAAAATCCCTTCTTATCGAACCTCTACACCCTAAAGTCAATCCGTTTTCCAAAAATCAGCTTTTTACGTCAAGGGCTTTAAGCAGGATCGTGATTAATCAATGACCAGATTTTTCAAAACACCCTGTATACATTTTTAAAAAATCTTAAAATATTATTCTGAAAATTTTTCAGAATAAATAAATACCTAAATATTGAAACTTAATAACGTACTGAAACATACAGCGCCATAATATCTCGACCTCCGCCCGTTATGCTCGTAACAGGTTGAAAAACAATATATCTAAAACAACTGATGCGTTATTCTCCAACCTGTTTCGAACTTCCATCGACAATCGACCGATGCAGCAGCCTTCCTTTCCCACTCCTGTTATCTCGACCGCCAGGCGTTATGCCCGCAACTGTTTCAAAAAACCTGCTTCTTTTATATCCTATTATTTTTAAGCTGTTATAAGCGCAATACGACCGTCGACGGGATCGACCGAAGCAGCTACGTTCGCCGTAGCGCATTCCCCACTCCGTTGTCCGTTGTCTCGCCGCCTGTATCGATGGTTGACGAAATAACAGGTTTTCCATCCATACTAGTTGTTTTTTGGAATTGCTTCGAGCAGCATAGAATTTCGGGACGGTGCAGAGCGCCGACTTCGTTTTTCGTTTCACGAGCGGCCGATCTCTACGTGTCGTTATTTTATATCTGTTATTTTTTTGAAGTAATAACGGTTGCGTTATGTTATTTCTAAATAATTGTTATAAAATAACAGATAGTTAAATAACAACCCATCACTATGTCACAGTGACAAGTGTCGTACACAGTCAAGTTGGCCTTGGTTCAATCTATGGACATACCAAATTGCATTTAAATCGGACGATTTTTTCGCCATTGATGATGAAGTTTGATAGTGCACGAAACGTCGTCAAAATATCATAAAATATGATGAATTCCGAGTTTCAGCCCCCTAGCTTACATGGGGCCCAAATTACGACACTCCCAAAGACCCATCTCAATTCTTCATTGTCTTATTCTTTATCTTTTTACCACTTACCACCGTCTTACCACTTTTTCGATAGTTACAACTTTTGTGATGCCAGTTATGACGCAAGCTCGTGTGTTGCGGCCTTGATTTTTTACTACCATTGCGCGTAAAGAAGTTTCACTTCAATAACTATCCAGTCAAGATATTAATTTTTGTAAATGATGACATATATAAATTCTATTATTATTAAACTCGTAGCGATTTTTACTAAGAGACCTATTTTGCGTTAAAAACGGTGGAAATATATATATTTTTCATTCAGTAGTGTAATAACAGCTACGGACTTATTATTCTCCAAAAGTTAAAAAACATGTAGGTGTACATGTAAAAATCATACTTACAACAAAATCGAATTTCTAATGTAAAAACATCCAGACACAAATTTTCATCCAAATATCGACCCTAATTCAGAAATTTTTGGAAAAAAATTGAATTAAAAATTTAACCTTCAACACCCTGTATCTCCAAAACAAAGCACTTTAGGACAAATTTTTATCTGCAGAATATGCTGCCGAAGTTTCCCGAGTACAATTCGGGCCACCCTGTATACGTGGAAAATAACTCTATGTACAGGGTAGGTCAAATTCGACGCTTTTAAATGGAAACACCGTTTCCTATAGGAGATAGACGAAATCTAATATCGGTGTCTGGAGCTCAATTTTTGTCAAAAACATGATGGTGAAAACCGCACATCGATATCTGTTACCGTTTCGGAGTTACGGGGTGTTTTTCAAAAATATGCATTTTTAATAAATCGCTGTAACTTTTTTGCTATGGAAAATTTTGTATTTTTATGAAAACATTTCCAACGCACCTTTTTACGTAGAATTTAATCGTTTAAGTATATTTTTTTTTAAAATTAATAATTTAAGAATTATCAACAGAAAATTTGATTTTTTATATGAAACACGCTGTATATTTTTAATTTATTGAAAATAATTTATAAAAATACAAAATTTTCCATAGCAAAAAAGTTACAGCGATTTGTTAAAAATGCATATTTTTGAAAAACACCCCGTAACTACGAAACGATAACAGATATCGATGTGCGGTTTTCACCATCATGTTTTTGACAAAAATTGAGCTCCAGACACCCATATTAGTTTTTGTCTATCTCCTATAGAAAAGGGTGTTTCCATTTAAAAGCGTCGAATTTGACCCATCCTGTACAAAAAATGTTTTCGATGTTATTTAAACTTCAGTCTTCAGTCATACCTCTTCAGTCATACCCGCCAAACCAAACTCTGTAATATAAATAGATAATATCAGTATAATGACTTGGATAAAAAAAATATCCTACAGCCACTTATATAGAGTTGAGTCGACCAATTTGTCATGATCACATTACACCATCCATCATTTTCGTTCAGTGACCACAGCATAGTAAACACAAGTTAACAACATATCAAAACATTTATTAGATAAGTTGTTTATGTACTTAGTAACATATTTAGCCACTACAAAAATAATAAATAAAAAGAAATATTATTTTTAATTTAATTTGTTTAAGTAAATTGGTATCAAAGTAAAGCACTTTTACGTCTAAGCACAAAAGTACAGAAATATATTATTAAACTGACATTGTGTCGAATTCAACTACCGTAATCATAGTTTCGCGATATATAATTACTTACAAGGTATTACTTTAAAATATTTTTATATTATTTGCAACGTTTGAAATTATTTAAAAAGTTATTTGTGGCGTTAGAAAACAAATTAGCATGTTCATGTTCTATTCGGAGTAAAAATGACTTTTTTCTGCGATCGTGCAAAAAGTACAAGTTTTTACACTCTCTACTGTTTTAAAAGTCAAAATTTTTACACTAGTGCAAAAAATATGTTACTTTTTATAAACACCTTGACATTATTAGTGACGACTTTAACCCTAGGGCAGGCGCGTACTTTGCAAACTCAGAAAAACTAAAAATCATACCGAACATATAATAAAATAAACCAAACGAAACCTTTTAGATATTCTAAAAAAATATTATTAACCACTGGAAGAAGATGAAACTAACATCTAAATATTTAGCCTTCTTCTATAGGTAGATATCTACCGGCAATACAATTGTTTAATCTACCACTGTAGTTTTTGCGAACAAATTTGTTGCATTAGTTGCAAAAACTAGTAGTTTAATGGGTTTCACATACTATGGCAGGGACCAACTCGCTTCTTATTGTCTCTAACTAGTACCTTTACCTCTGGAGCATATTTAGCGAAGAAAACTTGGAAATCTCTGGGGAGAGTTTGTATGCTGGCCCTTTCCGTCATTACTACAGGTTATACAACATATATTTTTCAGATTATCATAAAAGCAATCGAAAAAATTAATTAACAATTTAAAATTACAACAAACAAAGCAAAATAATTAAGTAATGTGGTAACTATTTTACTTATATAACCGGGCGCGTAGCGACACGCACTGCTAAAAGAACTGTAGTAGTTGTACAACTTCTGTCGTTGCCAGGATTACGACAGAATTGCTACCGGGCCAAAATCCCTGGATACGCACCTACTACGGGTGTCAAATATCCCTAAATAAGAATGAAGGGTCCAGTGGAAAAACGATGAGATTCCATTTGTCAAAAAGTTGGGTAAAACGAAATTTAAAGTTTCACAACTACCTACTGATGAAATAGTTTTTATTTGTATGTTTGAACTAGTAATTTTAATGACATTTAGAGTTCTTTCTGAACAATTTTCTTGATCAAAATTTTTTAGAACCCAATTTTGAACCCAGGCACGAATGAAACATTATGTATTCCCAACATTAATATGTTTTATATAGGCAAAAATCCAAAATAAAAGCGAAGTGACAAATCTAACATGATATATTGTTCAAAATACAGAATATGTAGTATAAAAAACGAAAGGAATGTATTTATGAGCAAATTCACACATTATTATTCCAAAACTAATATTATGTACTACATTGTTAATTATTTAAATATTAAAAACTATCATTTAAAAACTGAAATTTCCATGTAGTAAAAAGTTGCCCGTTACTCATCGTGTTCCTCGTAATCAAAATAAACATCATCGTGATTTTCTGGGGCAGCTCCCTCTGTGACCAAATTGTGATAAAACCTCTTGGCCTCTTCATTGATGAGAAAGTTCGTCAAGTGTTGCAGGTCATTATACTTCACTAAATTAATAGGAAAAGGCCCATCATAGGAGTTACGAAGCTCCTGTCTTGGTGGAGAGTTCTTTCCTTTATTTTTCCCTCTTTTTGTTGGCACCCACAATACATTAAGCTTACAAAGTGCACCACAAAATGAAGGGCTAATGCTAATATATTGTGGTGTATCGGAGGAAATCTTTAACCTTCGAATCGTTCTTGTGGGGAATGCACATTTCGGTTTGTACATCGGTGATAGGAAATTTGCCCACGCTTTGAAAAATTCCTTCTTACAATCTATAACAGTGAACGGCGAGGGTTTGCGTCTACTTTGGCTAATCACATCCCTCCGTCCTTGAGGCAATTCTACGTATGATTTTTGATTAATAATGCTCATATCTCTATCACACTCTAGATAGCTATGGCTATGGATAGGAAAAAAAACTTTCACGCAATCCAGTCTCTTCTTTTCTGTGACGAGGTGGTGAAGAAATCGCGCAGTACAGTATAATTTTTATTCTGGCCGGCACATGAGTCACAAAAAATCACTAGCATCCTTAGAGTTCGTGAAAGAATTTCGTTGACAAAGTGATCAAGAAAGGAGCATACATCGTCAGCACCCTTGCGCGCTATACTTTCATCATAAGTATAGAAAATCGCCTCGTTTGTTGCGAGAACATGAATATTAAAAGAGTAGAAGCTTAACTCTCTTATAGTACACATCGTTTGTTGTTACATTAGGCGTCAATAAATTCTTCTGAAAGTCTATGGATATGGCCTCCACTGTGTCAGATTTCATGGGTTTTTTCCTTAACTTTCTTTTGATTGCGTAAAACTTGTCAGCTTTTTTTAAATGCAGTTTTTGATCCAACTCCAATTTCTCCAGCTCCCTTTCTTGTTCCAGTTTAATTTCAGTGGCTGTTGCATTTCGGAGAGTATTGGTTAAAGAAGTATGTTGTGATTTGAACGAATCGCATGTGCTGCAGATATCTTTCCTCGGGAATCCAAAAGAAATGTTGAAATTGTTGTTGAAATGCGATCGGAACGTTTCGTACGATACCTTGTTTAAAGGGTTGGTTTCTTTGTAAATGTAAGCCAGTTTACTAATATTCAAATCTTCAGTCAAATACAAACGGCTAGTGTCATTTAATGAATAGTGAAATTTACGCCCTTTCAATGACTTGATAAAATCATTCATGAGTGTGACTGTTTCGGTGCAGATTTTTGTGGGTCTATTCGAATGTTTCCCCCTCCTATCTTTGGGGCTTACACCCATCGAAGCCAATGATTGCTGTAAATATTGAACTCTCCTAGGTGTGATTCCGTGAATGGCTATAAATGCCTTGTAGCAGATAGGAACGTCTTGGAGGGTGTTTTCCACTTTCACCCTGACTCTATACGCGTACGTATGCGTATATATTCACTGCATCACAGGATGAAGGACGGCGCCTTTTTACCTTTTTACGGGAAGCACAGCAATGAGGCCGCTGAGATACCTGTATTGATCATCCTTTGTACGCATATTATTAAACTCGGCGATAAGACATCTTTTTTCGGTTTCAACAACATCAAAGCACTTCAATCGTTTACACGCACAGTTGCTACCTGTTTTATGAGATGCCAGTCGGAGCTTCTTCATAACGTCCTTCATCGGTCCGTGTACTTTCTTTTTCTTGGTGGACTTTTCTGGTTCATTCCGTTCACAACCTTCGTCACTTGAGTCACTTTCCATTGTAATTAATTGTTCAACACTGCCAATAACGATGATTCACAAAACACAAACAAATTTAGTAAGTATTACAAAAATATTATATATAAACAAACAGCGAACTTTATTGTTGCTTTCAAGCTAATGGCAACAAGAAACTCAACAGAACAAAGCAAAAAGAATAAACGCCAGAGACCTGTTTAAACAGCAGAGAGAGGGAACCTCATCGTTTTTCCTCGGGCGCGTGGGAGTCTCATCGTTTTTCCACAGTGCTGCCTATTTTTAGCCGTAACTTTTGGTGGAATCTCATTGTTTATCCCCTGTAAGGTTTAGTGTGTTAGTACTTCACGTTATAAGCTATCGCATGGCGTCAAAATGTCAATTTCGAAAAAAAATGGAATCTCAACGTTTTTCCACTGGACCCTTCGAATATTTAATGGCACCACCGACCTACGTCCATTGGATATTTGGTTTTAACGAAATTAATTAAATTGTGATACAAAATTACAGCCGGGCCCGTTCGAGGGTTAACTAATGAGAAAAAAATTGTAAATTTTTGTAAAAATGTGTCATATCCTGAAAGATAAACCAAGTACCAGTAATGGACACCTCGCAGCAACGTTCCGGAAAAGAGTTTTAAGTGAAGAAGAAGAACCCGAGACCACCACAAGCAGAAATATAATTCAGAAAACTACTGGAAATGAAGTTTTCCATAAATTACCTTAGTAAATTTTTGAAAAAAAAAACTGCGACATTAAAATTAAAATGAACTCAAAGAAAGTTCTTAAAAAAAATAGAAGTGTCGTTGTTTGTGGTAATATTATTCTGTGAATTATTGTAAAATCTTTTTAATAAACATTTAAATAAGAATTTCAATTCCATCGTAGAAATAATTTTGTGTGCAACATGTGCAAAAAGCATATTTTTTTATTAAAACTCATGAGTCGTGCAATAAATATGTCTTTTACACACTAATATCTATTTGTGCCTCGCCTATAATGTCAAACATACAGTCTTGCTACAAAAAGTGCCATTTTGACTCCCAAAAAATATACTATTATTAAATAATTTTTGAAGTAAATTGAGCATACATATTAATAAACATTTTTTGTATTTTCAGCTAGAGTTACCCTGGCAATCTTGTCCCATCGATCCTCTTACAAACGTTACCCTAAAAGAGTGTGAGAAATCCTCAGCAACGGCATTTTTCTGGTATAGAGTGACGCTGGATGCAAGTCCGTCAATAGATGAACCAGGTGCTCCTAAATGGTGGATTGTCCTATGTCTTCTACTAGCCTGGATAGTAGTCTTTTTCATTGTTATGAAAGGAATACAGAGTTCAGGAAAGGTAATTAATTAATTTAACACAAAATAAGTTTTCACAGTTTCAATCCTTGTCATTTGTTATCTGGGTGTTTTTTCTACTGTACGGGTATCTCTTTGTTGTCTCTGCTGACTGCATATATTTAAAAAAAAAATAGAGTTAAAATATCAAATAGAAAACATTATACATATTATATTGTAATCGCAAAACATTTTCCGATGCACGTCATCAATGATATCGACATTGACACTAAAGTCTATAAACCAGACTAAATAAAATTTTGGCAAAAATGTTTAAATTTGTTGTATAATTTAAGATACCGAGCAGCTCTTCATTTTACTTTATTAGAGCAAATGATTATAACAGATATTTTATTTAGAATAAAGCTGCAAAAATTAGGTTAAACCGAATTTTATTATCGCTAGGTTCCAAGGTTGGTCATATTGTGTCGTGTTCAGCAATGTTGTCCTTTATTATTTGACAATTATCTTATGTCAGTCATTATTTTCTATAATATCGTGTTGTTGTTGTTGAATCTTTTTGAACAATTCTCGTTTTTTGCCTATTTTCGTAGTCTTTTTTTTTAAATTGGACTTTTAAGCACAAACAGTTCTTTTAAGAACTAAATTTTCGAGTTTTTGTATTGCATTTCTTGAAATTGTGTGTTGAAAATATGCCGAAGTATTTAAACAGTCGAAGCAAAGAGCTTGTAGCATCCCTGATAAACAATTTGAACGAGAACGTGACAATAAAGGTCCTTTATTACACTTGACTGCAGTCAGAGAAGTAAGTTTGATTGATAAGCACGTTATACCACTTTCAAAGTTAGTTTTTATTAAATTCTGTGATTATTAGTTTGTGCATTAATAGCACCCTCTTACTTGTTATTACCAGTTATGGCGTTGTAAGATGTACATCAATAAATAATACATCAATAACCCATAATAACGCTTCGAATAATTATGTATTATATATTCGATGAATAATCTTCACAACGGACTAGTTTTTGCCAATATGTAATAAGTAAAATAAGCTATAAAACAAATAAAATAAGTCATTACTAAAATATTAGTTATTAAATTAAAAATAAAACGTAAAACTCTTTAAAACATTATACAGGGTGGTCCGAACTGTATTCCGGAAACTTCGGCAGCATATTCTGCACATAAAAATAAGTAAAAGTTGTCGTATGTCCAAAAATGCTTAGTTTCGGAGATACTGGGTGTAGAAATTTCATTTTTATTTCGATTTTTTCCAAATAATTTCTGCAGTAACGTCAATATTTCGATTAAAATTGGTGTCTGGGGGTTTTTTGACATGAGAAATTTGATTTTGATATCAATATGAGAAATTTGATTTTGATATCCTACTAGTAGAGGGCGCCACCTACATATTTTTTAACTGGTTTGAAGAGTAATAATTTTTCGTCCATACCTGTATAAAATTACTGAGTAAAAAAATATACATTTACGACGTTTTTTACGTATAAAAGGTCTCTTGGTAAAAATCGCTACGAGTAATGGTTTTCGAGATATTTGGAATCGCAGTTATCAATACCTGTCATCACTGACATAAATTAAACATGTTGACTAAATAGTTATTAGACTGAGATCATAAATTTGAAATATTTTTGTACCAAAAGTTCAACAAAAACTGTTTTATCATCATTTTTTTGCAGAAAAAATATGATTAATTTAAAAAAATTAAAATTTTCCATATTTATTATTTCAGTGAAATAACTATCTACTCAACGTATGTATTTTTCGTTAATAATGGCATGTATTGACTATTTCCATTCTAAATATCTTGAGAACGATTACTCGTAGCGATTTTTACAAAGAGATATTTTTTACGTAAAAAATCACAGAGATGTATATTTTTTCCCTCGGTAGTGTTATACAGGTACGGACAAAAAGTTATTACGCTTCAAAACAGTTAAAACACATGTAGGTGGCGCCCTCTACCAGTAGGAGTCATATTAACACCAAAATCAAATTTCTGAATCAAAAAACTCCCAAACAAAAATTTTCATCTAAATATTGATGTTACTTCAGAAATTATTTGAAAAAAATCGAAATAAAAATGAAATTTCTACACCCTGTATCTCCGAAACTAAGCATTTTAGGACATACATTTATACGAACTTTTTTACCTATTTTTATCTGCAGAATATGCTGCCGAAGTTTCCGGAATACAATTCGGATCACCCTGTATAATAAATATATTGTTTGTCAATTTTAATTTAAGATTCATCACATAAATCCATCACAATCTGGCAGCGCTGTCGCCATCGCTTGTCACTCAAAGTTGATCACGTGCATCGGAAATTGTTTTGCGATTACTTTTACTTACCGTTTGATCGAAAAAAAACGTCGTCCAGTCGGCTTGGAAATTATGATCGATGACATTCCCTATATAATATTACATATTAAATGGCTGCGATCTTCATTCCATAGACATCGCTGAAGCCGTTTTTTTTTCGATCATATTTTATGTAGTGGGTTTTTGTATACTGAACCATCCCATATTCCTAAACGTAAAATTTCAATTTAAAAATATAATTTTCAGTGACCCCCCATATCTTGGATATAAATTCAATCATAAATACTAGAGAACCCATTAGTTGAATTAATTTTAAAGTATTGTCTAGTAATTTGGGAGAAGGGGTCTCAACATAAAATAATGCGAATTTCGAAAGTACGCCAAATAAAATTCAAAATTATATTAAACAAAACAATCAATAGTATACAATTAATCCTTATTTTTAATAACGTTTTAAATTTTAGAAAACTCCTTTGTAAGATGCAGGTTTTTTTGCTATAAAAAAATAAACATATATTTAAAGAGACCATAAACCATTATAATACTCGGTCTAAAAAAATAATAATTTACAGTCAAGTTTCTGAATAAATCCCGTTTACGATAAAACATACTAGTTTTGCTTCCCAGATTTTTTATAACGCTACCTTTAAACCTGAGAATAAAAATTAAACAGAATGAGTACAAAAAGGGGTTAAATGCATACAGGTCCCAGGAATGGAAAATTTCTAACACAGGCCTATTAATACTCTAGCAGAATTTTCCATACCATGTGATACAATTTTATATGGGTACATTTATTAATTCAACGATATTATCGATTCGTACGTTACTTTATTATCTAGTATAAAGATTATTGTGTAAACCAGCAAACCGAAATATATGCATTCTTGAATTTCCTTTCATAGACATACATACATACTACTGCCATTACTCGCTACCGAGTATAGAACACGCATTAGAAGATGGTTCACGCAACGTGCTTTCTTTTATGAGCTTTTCTGTGACTGAAAAGCCCGATACGTGATGCTATCTCCGCTATCTCTTTTTTAATGCCCGCAATCCGGGCATTAAAAAATCTCATTCCTTTGTTGCCTCTTTACTTTTTGGTTGTCGCTGGTTAACTGAATTTACAATTCTCCTCCATTGCGTTCTATTGTGCGCTGCTTCTTCCTACTCATTCAGCATCTTAACCCCCTTTAAGTTTTCGTGGAAAATATGCTTGCACGTTTTCAGTTGTCCACCCGGTTTCCACTTACTGTCTACAAAGTCACCGTAAAGCAAAGATTTTGGTATGCGGTTTTCTTACATTCTGCTTAATTCTGCATCGATATTGGCCTTTTCCGAAATCAAACTTCCGATAGGTAATTGAATTCCGCTACATATTCTAATATTTCTTCTCCGATTTTTATAGCATGGTTGTGATCTTCCGAGGGAGTGCGCATGATTTTAGTTTTGTCGAAGTTCAGCTTAAAGCCCAGAGCCTCGTATGCCCAGGTACATGTGTTCAACATTTCTTGCAATTGTTTTACCGTGTTTGCAACTAGAGCGCAGTCATCAGAGTATTGAAGTTCTGTGATGAATTTTGTACGTGTTTTTGCCCTGAGTCTTTTTATGTTGAACAGACCGCCGTCAAATCTGTACCTAATGCCCAATCCTCTCTCCTGCGGTTTGCTGTCCACTATAATGGAAAGCTCTGCCATGAATATGTTGAATAGGAGAGGCGCTAAGAAACATCTCTGCCTAACTCCTGTATTTGTTCGGAAGGAATCGCTCAGTGATTCATGATGTGACACTAGACTTTCATAGCCCTGTGTCTATGAAAGTCAAGAAGATCTGTATCCAGTAGACGTACTTTTGATATTCCTTTTCGCTTGTATATATTATATTTTGTCATGTATGAAATTGGGTTCTGGGCTACATTGACACTTTGTTTAAAAAAACAATAGGGACTCTGACTACTGATATGCGTACGAGAACAGGCTCAGCACGTGAAATGCGAATAATCAAAAATAAGCAAGGATGAGCAGCTGGTAGTAGTGTGTGTATCAAATACCGTGCAATTATGATAAATTTTATATTAGAAAAACATCTACCTAGACCTTTAAATATTTGGAGTAAAAAAGACGGAAATAATTTAAAATAAAGAAAAAACAAATTTGGCTTTGTCACTCATAGAATAGAGAGAACAAATTAAAGTAAAATATAATCAATGAGTTAAAAATACATTAAAAAAATACAGAAAGAAGAAATTAGAAATGGGATTAATTTTTTAAGGAATTTTTAGTATAACCTAAAGAAAATATAAGATGGAATTTCCCTTAAAATTATCTTTTGTTGAAAATGGTTTATTTTGCAAATTATTTAATGCAAAATAGGCAACGGCCTAGCTACGTTGAAACACCGGTTCCCATTAGAACACCGAAGTTAAGCGACGTAAGGCGATACTGGTGGATGAACGGGTAACCGGTTCAAAACTCTGTATCGTGCAAGGGAAAAGTGTAAAATCTATTGATACACACTGCTCATTCACGCCGCGCCGGTTCGAGGCCGGATGAGATCGGATATCTCGTGAGTAAGAGTTAATTATGACACTTCCTAAGTCGGTAGGCCACTGACCATGATATGGCCGACGACCGCGGTTCGGATTCATGGCAGCAAAAAGGAGACGTTAACTGAAATCTTTACTTAACTTTACTTTAATGAAAAATAATATTGATGACGTGCCAATCACCCTTTTTTTTCTAGGTGGTGTATTTTACGTCCATGTTTCCCTACTTAGTGTTAACCATATTTTTTATAGAAGGTTTGACACTAAAAGGCGCTGGGGCTGGACTAGCTCATATGCTTAAACCTAAAGTAAGTCATTTAAAATATATAATACAATAAAAAGAGTAATAATACTAATCTAAAAATAACAGCAATCTCTTCATTTTAGAAATAGTTTCAATTGATTTGTTTTATAATTATTTTTAAAGATTTATTCAGAACCTCGTAATTAGTGGGGTAAATTAGTGGTTTCAATTACACTTTATACTTTTTAATTTACGACCATTCACAATGGCTAAAAACACAATTAAAATTAATAGAATATCCTAGCAACAGCTTGCGGTAGTCAGTGGTATCCATAGAGAAAGTCTAATATTTAGCTTATAAAACAAAAAACATTTGATTTATAACCACAATTTCTCTTGACGGATGATATAATAATCAAAGGCTAAAATGACATTCCTCGCAACTTTTGAAATATAATTAGTGGAAAAGTTAAAAGTTTGTTAACTTTTTCCACTAAGTGATGATTACTACCACTAATTTTGACGTTGTAAATGCTTACATGGATATTAGAGGAACAAACTTCTACGCTAACTGAAACCACTAATTAATTATAATTAATTCCACTAATTCTGAAGTTCTGAATGAAATATTTTAACTTAAGTTAATGGATAATTTTTCAATTTTGTACCATAACTGTAACTTAACTAACACATTACTACAGTTAGTTTAAGCTATCATAAATATGTATAATTTCGCATCTTAATCATATATCAATATTGTTTTAGGTACATATGTTAAAAGAGCCTAAAGTATGGCTAGATGCTGCCACTCAAGTATTCTATTCTTTTGGATTGGCTTTCGGATCTCTCATTGCTTTTGGTTCCTACAATACACCAAAAAATAACTGCGTCAGGGATGTCATTTTAGTGTCAGTATGTAACGCCATAACTGCCATTTATGCCAGTGTAGTTATATTTGCTATACTAGGTTTCAAAGCTGTTAGTAAAGTTGAAGAATGTCTATTAACGTAAGTATATAATTATTATATCTAATTTACACTATACTTAACAAATTTATAGGGAATATACCCTTAAAACCCTGTTGACACGGTCCAAGTATACTTTGAACAAATTTACTTTCAGGCTGTGTGCGTTCCACTTGGACGACACTTGGATCGTATCAACCGATTTTAAATAAGTTGGTACTATCCAAAAATCATCCAAGTGAGACGCACGCAGAAAACAACAGCTAAACGGAAAAGTTCTTTTTTCAATTTCTTCTAATATACAAGGTGGTCCGAACTGTATTCCGGTAACTTCGGTAGCATATTCTTGCAGATAAAACAAAGTAGAAAAGTTCTTATAAATACATGTTATAAAATGCTTAGTTTTGGTGATACAGGGTGTAGAAGTTTCATTTTTATTTATAATAAAAAAATTATTAAATAATAATATTTGAATGAAAATTGGTGTCTGGTAGTTTTTTGATATGAGAAATTTAATTTTGATGTCATTATGGCTCCTATTTGTAGAGGGCGCCACCTACATGTGTTTTAATTGTTTTGAAGAGTAATAACTTTTTGTCCGTACCTGTATAAAACTACTGAGTGAAAAAATATACATTTTCGTAATTTTTTAGGTGAAAAATGTCTCTTGGTAAAAATCGTTACGAACAACCCTTCCCGAGATATTTTGAATGGAAATAGTCATTATTGACAAAAATTAAACATGTTGAGTAGATAGTTATTTGACTTAAATGATAAATTTGGGAAATGTTTATTTTTTTAAATTAATCATAAAATTTTCTTCGAAAAAATGATGATGGGTGATGATTTGGCACAAAATATTTCAAATCTATGATATTTCAGTCTATTAACTCTAACTAGCACTAACTAACTATATAGTTTTATGCAGGTACGGACGAAAAGTTCTTACTCTTCAAACAAGTTTAAAATATATAAGTGGCGCCCTCTACAAGTAGGAGTCATATTGACATCAAAATCAAATTTCTCGTATCAAAAAACTCCCAGACACCAAATTTCATCCAAATATTGACGTTACTTCAGAAATTATTTAGAAAAAATCGAAATAAAAAAAACTTTTACACCCTAAAAACCAATTGAAAATTTGGATTTTTACATAAAGGCACCTGCTCCATCTTTTTAAAATATTTTCAGCATTACAATGTTGCCGCATCATTTAAAAAGTGGTAGCATCTTTTTTATTTTAAATGCAACACCCAGCATATCATTATATTTTTGAAAACTACTTTCAAATCTCGTAATATCTCTACACTAACCTATACCTATCTCTAATAGTTTTTGAGATAAAAAATTAAAACATGTATGTGTAAAATTGACAAAAACATGATCGTGAATAAGCATTGGTAAAATCACGAATTAAACATTTTTAAAGTTGAAATTTGTGTTATACTTGGTTATACGTTAACGAAAGTCGATATATCTGATTTGTCTAAATAAATGGGTTGGATAATGGATATTACACAGGCAGAGCAAAAATATTATTTATTTCCGTTTATTATGAAATTTCTCAAATCTTTCTTATTTTAAATTCAACCCTATATCTTTTAAATTCAACCCTATGAAAAAAATCAAAAGGCTAATAAAATTGCTTTTCAACGATATATCATGTTCTTATACATAAACCTTTCGGTTTCTTTAGTAGAGCTATTTAAAAATTAATAATTGTATTATTATAGTTTCATATCAAGAATTTCGTTACCATGACAATTTTAGAAATTTGGCACGTAAACTCATGGTAAACTCTAAGCTTCATTCAGAACCATAGATAAATGCAACAAGTTTAGATTGGAAAGCCCGTAAAAATTTTGGGTCGCGAAATTATTTTGGGTCGCGACCGTTATACGCGATCTGACGCTGCTATAGCGGTCGCTAAGAACAATGGCAAACAAAAACAGAAATAATTTTCTCTTGTCAAAGTCAGAATCTTCAAAAATCATAATAAAAAGAGTCTTACGTGAAGGTAGAGCAAGAATTTTTGAGATAAATCTGTATGATTTACCACTTTGTTTGAACAGTGAAAGTGCAAATATTTTGTCATCCAGTGTAAAACGTCTCCCTTTAGGATGTAATTTTTGATTTCTTACCTGGCTGAGGAACAATTGTATAGTGGTTTCGTTGACATCCTTAAAAATATTAATTTGTTTTCTCATCAATCGCTGCTTCGTACGAGTCGTCATCTTTCTGGATTTTGTTAGATCCTTGCGAAGTCTGGATATCCTACTCAACAAAACCTTTTCATTTTCACTCAGTGGCCTTCCATATTTATTTTTTGACATATGTGATTCTTAAAAAAATAAATATTTTTAAAAAAATGTACAAAAAACAATAATTAGAAAATTGATACTCTCTAAAAGAAAAAAAATAGGATGATATATTTATATAGATGTTTGTCCTACACCAATTTTATAACCCCTCCTCCCCTAAATCCTTTATAAAAAAACACCTATATATTTTATAAAATATTGTAAATACAATAAGTTGGAAAAAAAACGCCGTCAGCGATGGCTAGGAAATGAAGATCGCTGTCATTTTATGTATATGAAAAATTATATGGGAAATATCATCGATTTCAAAGCCAACTGGACGCCGTTTTTTTTTCATCATATGGTATTTATTTTCATTTCTTTCGTTTTATGACAACCATAATAAAATTTTTATATAAACTCGATTAAAAATATATATGAAAAGGTTTAATTATTATTAATTATTATTAAAAACAATAATTATCAAAATGGGCAATAAAAATAGCTAAATTATATTATAAAGCAATAATTAAAGAATATCAATAAATACTGTAGGGTAAAAAAAAATCAGATCAAGAATATTGAATCAGACCATGACTGTTGACGGCTTAATGAATTTTTTAATTTAATTTCGCAAATATTTTTAATATGTAATTGTTGCTTAATCATTAAGTCTTCATAATATAATCTTTAAAATATAATCACCTTGAAAATTAACAGTACCAGTATTTTGCCTCTTGGTTATCCTTTTATTTTGTTTCGAGGTTGAAGGCTGTGGTTCTTCTGAAACAAAATATTTTATATATGTTTTTTTTATTTTATAAATTATATTTAACCAGATAGCTATAGATAACTATGATACTAAAAACTAATATGTTTGAAAATAAAGCTGTAAATTAAAAAACAAGATAACCAAGTAAATTTTACATAATTTTTGAAATGTGTCATTATTAGTATATGTAAATAAAATAATACCTTGAAAACTATCAGCAATATCTTGCCTCCTTGGTTGAAATTTGGATATTAAAGCCTGTGGCCCGTCTAAAATACATAGTAAAAAATTAGGAAAATATGATATAGTAAAAATGCTACATTAAAGTGCGTTTAGACTTGAGCACGCATGAGCTGTGCGTACGCGAACGGTATTCGTTTGCGTTCTCGGCTCTCGTTTAAATTAAAAACTTATTTTTTGACGAATTGGTGAAGGCACGCACGCACGCATACAAAACAAATTGCCGATGCAAACTGAGCGTTCGCAAACACAGAAAATTCCGTTGAGCACCAATCAAAAACCAACACTCAGTGTGTGCGTGCTTAAGTCCAAAAGAACCTTTCAAAAAATGACTATTGTTTTCATTAAAACCATTAAAACCAATAAAATTTATATATAAATCAAATTACCTTGCAAATTATCATCAGTATTATGGGTATTATGTACAAATCTTAGCATCTTGGGCTGTGGTTCCTCTATTTCATCCTGGGTTACAAAAAGTTTTCTCTTGGCATAAGTTTTCTGGGGAATTTTTACATGTCCTACAGGGCTAGATAAGACAGAACATGGTGTGGAAGTAAGAGCTTCTGAAATAATATTATAGTCAATATATTGGATATAACTTAATACCTCTTTCTTAAATTTCAATTTAGAATTTATTTTTTTCAAACAAAAACTAACCTATAAACCTTGGTGGAGTTTCTCTTCCTGTTACAGAAGGTTCTCTATAGAAGCAATCTCCTTCCACTCTTTCATATCCGGGAATATATAATGTTGGCAAAGCATTTCTCAATAAGATATTATTATTGCTGAAACATTGTGGCTCGAAATGAACATTACAAACTTTATATATCGTTAACTTTGTCTTCTCTTTAGAAAGCGCGGTTAATTTCTTATTGTGAATTCTGCTTAGCCAAACATTTCTCAACTTTACATTAGATGGAATTGCGTGTCTAAAAATTAAAAAAAATTAGATTATGAAATAAGACATAAAACAGTTTAGAAAAATAGTTTGTAGTTAAATATTCTTAGGTCCAAACATATATTATTTATATGTTATAAAAAACATCTTACAATATAATTTTATGTCAATTTATACAACAAAACACTTAAACTAGCCAAGTATAAGAAGATGACTAAAATTGATTAAGGTTCTATACTAATTAGGTAAATATTGGGTAATCGCGCTGAATAATTTTGCTACCCTAATAGATATTGTTTTTAAAAACTTACCTGTTGGATAATTTATCGCTACACTCAGGAACACTACAAGGACGAATACGACTTGCTGGACTCATTATATTGTTAAGAAAAAGATACTTATACAAAATAAGCACAACACAAGCACAAAACACGTAAAAACTACTCTTTAACTGTTTCCAGTAGAAAGTTGTTGTTTACAAACTCAAGTAATGGCGTCGATCGATGACGGTCGATCGCGTCGTTTTCTTTTTGATACGCTGCTTCTGACATCTACCGCCGAATAGATATACTAATGGAAACTAGTTGGGATAACGGTTGTAGATGGCGCTAAAGTCGCTCGTTCTATCAGCATATTTAAGATTCCCGCCCCTGATCATAATAATCTTTCAAAATCTAAATCATTAAAGAAATTCCGAAAAGTGTTTATAGCGTCCATTTTCAAAGTAATTATTGCTCTCATATTTCGTGAGTTTAATTCAAGTTTTATTTACTCCAACCGGTGATAATTGTGAAAAAGTGGCATTAAAAACTTAAAACGCTGTGCTGTG